TACAGTTCTGACCGCCCTCTTTTATATATCCGTAATACCGAAAAAAATCTTTAGCATCTCTCGGTTCCAACGAAATTTGCTTGTGCGTTGATAAGACACATTTCTGTTCCAGTAAATCCGAGCTTCTTTTCGTGTAACGAGTATTTATATTATTATTTCCCCATTTTTCTTTATTCTTTATTCTATCATTATATTAATGCCTGTCGTCAAACCACCTAGATTGTTATTGTTAGGAGCACCAGGATCCGGTAAAGGTACTCAAACAACTAAGTTATTGCACCAGTTTCCAAAGATAAACTCATTATCATCCGGAGATATTTTGAGGAATCAGATAAACTCTGGCACTAGTATTGGCCTCGAGGCATCTAAATATATTAAAAATGGGAAATTAGTTCCAGATACAACGATGGTGAAATTAATCACCAAACAGTTGCACGAAATGGATTGGTTAAACAAAAAAGCTGCTTGGTTATTAGATGGATTTCCCCGTACGTCAAACCAGGCTGTTGCATTAGACAACACGTTGCATACCAGTAATTCCAATATAAATATGGTTGTTGAATTGGATGTGGATCAGAAGGTCATTTTGGAAAGAATAGAAGCTAGGTGGGTGCATGTTCCCAGTGGAAGAGTTTATAATTTAGATTACAATCCACCAAAGGTGCCGTTCAAAGATGATATCACAGGTGAGCCATTATCAAAGCGTGAAGATGACACAGCAGAAGTGTTTCAAAAAAGATTAGATCAATATAATAAAGAGATTGGTCCATTGAAGGATTTCTACAATAATAAAGACGTCTTGTACAAAGTTAGCGGTGCTACATCTGATGTCATATTCCCTAAGTTGTCTAATTTGATATTGCAAAACTTTGGGGTCTAAGTTATTTAAGCGGCATATATTTAAAGTGTATTGCAATTTAATACATCGAATGATAGGGTATGAGGTATGAGAGAAAAAAGCATTGTAATGCATAAACATCCCTGTAAAAATTTATCACAATATATTAAGCATTTACCCGAGTGTCGTACGGTTATAGTTTAGATATATAATTAGCATAATGTATCTTGTTTCAAATGCATGATAATTGATTTGCTAGTCTTTTATCAATATAAAAAAAAGACTTCGCGAAGGATTATCTGATGTAAAGATTGAATATATTGAGTTTTTCCAGTAGATTCTGAATCGACACTTGGCACAACAACTAAGTATAATAAAGCAATGAAGTTTTACATAGATGACTTGCCGATTCTATTTCCATATCCTAGGATTTATCCTGAGCAATATGCATATATGTGTGATATAAAGAAGACATTAGATGTGGGTGGAAATTGTATATTAGAAATGCCTTCGGGTACTGGTAAGACTATTTCGTTATTATCTATAACGGTTGCATACCAAATGCATTACCCTGAACATAGGAAGGTTGTTTATTGTTCTCGTACTATGTCAGAGATTGAGAAAGCATTGATTGAATTGCATAATTTAATGAAGTTTAGAGCTGAGCAATTAGGTTATGTGGAAGAGTTTAGAGGGTTGGGATTATCAAGTAGAAAAAATTTATGTTTACATCCGACTATATCGAAAGAACGTAAAGGGATTGTGGTTGATGAAAAGTGTAGAAGGGTCACTAATGGGCAGTTAAAACAAAAGATTGAAAATGGGTTAATTAATACAGAGCAAACACAAGATCCAGAAGCTAATACATTATGCTCTTTTCACGAGCTGCTTAATGAAATGGATCAGCATAATTTGATCCCAGCGGGTGTCTATTCTTTTGATGCGTTGATCAATCATTGTAAGGAGGTTGGTACTTGTCCATATTTCACAGTAAGAAGAATGATACCATTTTGTAACATTATTATTTATTCATACCATTATTTGTTGGATCCCAAAATTGCTGATCGTGTATCCAAAGAGATATCGAAGGACAGTATAATTATATTTGATGAAGCGCATAATATCGATAACGTCTGTATCGAATCCCTATCCTTGGACCTTACCGACGATACTCTTAAAAGAGCTACTCGAGGGGCTAATAAATTGGGAGATGCAGTTGATGATATGAAGTCACAGGATAGCGAAAAACTCCAGAATGAATATGAAAAATTAGTAGAGGGCTTGAGACAAGCCGAAATAGCTCGTGATGAAGAGCTATTCATGAGTAATCCTACATTACCACAAGATTTATTAGATGAAGCTATACCTGGTAATATAAGAAAAGCTGAGCACTTTATTTCATTTTTAAAGAGATTTATTGAATACTTGAAAACTAGAATGAAGGTCTTACACGTCATTAGCGAAACTCCTATAAGTTTCTTACAACATCTAAAAGATTTAACATTTATAGACAGAAAACCTTTAAAATTTTGTTCGGAAAGGTTGTCTCTTTTAGTGAGAACGTTGGAACTATCTGAAATTGAAGATTTCACAGCATTGAAAGATATAGCTACTTTCGCCACACTAGTATCAACTTATGATACAGGATTTCAATTAATTTTAGAGCCATTTGAAACTGAAGGATCCACCGTTCCAAATCCAATATTGCATTTCACTTGCTTAGATGCGTCGATTGCCATCAAGCCTGTGTTCGAAAGATTTTCATCGGTTATCATTACTTCAGGTACTATTTCTCCGTTGGACATGTATCCAAAGATGCTTAACTTCCAGACTGTTATTCAAGAATCTTATACAATGACATTAGCAAGAAGATCGTTCTTGCCAATGATAGTAACAAAGGGATCTGACCAAGTTTCAATTTCTTCAAGATTCGAAATACGTAATGATCCGTCCGTCGTTAGAAACTATGGTTCCCTATTAATTGAATTTGCCAAAATCGTTCCAGATGGAATGGTTGTTTTCTTTCCGTCCTATCTATATATGGAATCGATTATTTCTATGTGGCAGAATATGGGTGTGTTAGATGAAGTTTGGAAATATAAATTAATTCTTGTGGAAACACCCGATGCACAAGAAACATCCTTAGCGTTGGAGACTTATAGGAAGGCATGCTCTAATGGGAGGGGTGCTATATTATTATCAGTCGCTCGTGGAAAAGTTTCTGAGGGTATTGATTTTGACCATCATTATGGTAGAACGGTTTTAATGATCGGTATTCCATTCCAATATACGGAATCCAGAATTTTAAAAGCTCGTTTGGAATTCTTAAGAGATCATTATCAAATAAGAGAAAATGATTTCTTATCTTTCGATGCAATGAGGCATGCCGCTCAGTGCTTAGGTAGAGTCTTGAGAGGTAAAGATGATTATGGTATTATGGTCTTAGCTGATAGAAGATTTTCACGGAAGAAAAACCAATTACCTAAATGGATTGCTCAGGCGTTAAATGATTCAGATACAAACTTGTCAACTGATATGGCTCTAGCGAATGCTAAGAAATTTTTAAGAAGTTTAGCTCAACCTACCAATCCTAATGACCAGGAAGGTGTATCCGTTTGGAACTTAGAGCAGTTAGAAAAATTCCAAAGAGAACATCAACATCAAATTAGTGGCACCGAAGAGAAGCCTAAACAGGAGAACGGTAACGATAATGAAGATGATGATGGATTCATGGATATAGATGATGATGATTTAGCTTTACTTTAATTACGTAAATACTGAATGTAAAATAACGCGAATTTATAAATAAAATAAATTCTGATTCTCTCATAGCTGTGTGAGTATGGCAAGGTCAAGTAACGAGTATTATCCTGTCATTCTTGACATATGCTCAACATTTATTCGTGCAGGGTTTGCCGGTGATGCATTGCCTTTAGTAACGATTAAATCTGTTGACCAGAACAATCAAAGCGCTTCATCTACCATTCCTCCATACTATAATGTAAACGATGCTTCGATGACTTCTGAGCAACATGATATGGTTATATCATCCTTATTTTCATCCAATGCAGTTATAAAAAAGGTATCAGAAATATATTCCAAAGATCATAGTAATAATCCAAGACAGTCAAAAAGTATATCAGGAAGGAATTTGCAAGTTAAACTCTCAGATATTTTTATTAATCATTTGTTAGTTTCACCTTCGAAAACCAAAATAATTATAGTTGATTCCAGCTATTCCATATTAGAAAAGTTTAGAATTTCAACAATTTTGCTATCGAAGATTGGAGTTAAATCGGTAATATGGGTACCTGAGCCTGCGTTGCATGTAATAGGTGCAAATAACACAAATGGGCTAGTAGTCAATGTGCGTTGGGATTTATTGCTTCTAAACACAATTGTAGACCTAAGGATATTGAGTCATTTAGAGGATGTTAAAAGGTTCAATGGTAGGTCATTGCATTACAAAATTATAGAGAAATTGATAGAATTGGAAGACGAAGATGTAAATGCATTGCTAGAAAAAGACGACTTATTTGATATTATCGAAAATTTTATTGCAAATGCCGTCTATGTCAGACCTCTAGACGAAAAGGAAAATGATACACGGCTATTTCAAATTTCAAAAGGTATAAGTATTCCAAATAGATTACGATATGAAGTTGTAGAATCATTATTTTTCGAGGAAGCTAATATATGTCAGGTAATAGAATCCACTGTCAAAAAGTCGCCAATCGACATCAGGCCAGTCTTACTTGAAAATATAATAATAACTGGAGAAATGTCTAATATTCCTGGATTTAAAACACGACTTATACGGGAAGTCAGAAATTTGGTCACCGGTAATGCAAGTTGCAAAGTCACTTTAGGACTGTGGGTGGGGTGCTCTTTATATTGTTCGACTACCTTAATACGACAGAATGATAAGGTATGGAAGTCCCAAGAGATAACGAAAGAAATCCTAAATAATTCAATCTCACACGATGGCATACGCTTAACAAATATACCTGATGCATTTAATTCGCTCTATAAAAATGGTTAAGTATGACATATATGTATATATATATATATATATATATATATATATATAGGTAGTTTAGCCAGCTGACATGCGATTGCAATATCATTTTATAATTTAATTCACGACTAGATTGGCTATTTTCTAAGTTTTTGCTTCCAATTGAACATTCTTGGTTCGACGTCTTTGTCCTGCTTCAGACTTCAGGAAGTCAAAATAATACTTCAAGCCGTTTAATAATTTTTTTAGAACCGGTACATGTGTGGTTGGTGTTTCTTTATAATCCGTATCATTTAACTTTATTTCTTCTGTAAACAAATTTAGCAATATGGAATCGTCGTTATTTTCCTCATAGAGATCAACTTCATTACAAAATGGAGCTACCTGAGTGTTTTTTCGTTTTGGCAAAGTCGATAAGTCTAATTTCGAGTTATCATCTGCCAAAGGCAGGTTCAAAGCTGGCCCGCTTCTATCTTTGAATTCGGTATTCAAAGAGCCCGAAAGAGAAGGAGTGCACACGAATTGTACTTCAGTGTATGGTTTGGACTTCGCCTGATATATTTCTTGAGTGATTCTTGATCGGTCTAATCCAACAGTTGGCCGTGAGAGTTGTGTGCGTAATAAGGAGGCCCGTTGTTTTTCATAGGATGGCTTATCAGCTTTGGAACAGCCTAAAATTGCATTTCCACTTACATTTTCCTTTAGTTTATTCGCTTCAGATCCTTCAGTAGCCATTATCCAACTATTATCAGATTTGTCACACGGTAATCGATTTTCATTTGGTGTGGCATATGGCGAATCCTTTGAACAGTAAGAGTTCTTGTAGTTTTCTAAATCAGTCTGATATAATGGTAATCTATAAATCGTATTTCCTCTTGAATTTATGGGGTTCTGTAAATTTGCATGAGACAGGTGGAACATCTTGTCGTATGTTTCTTTAGTAACGCTACGGTCCATCAGAAAATAATCGTCCAGCCCTATCCTTAGAAGATCCAATAGATTTGATTCTAATGTTACTATCTTTATTTACTAGTCATCTATCCATACCTTATTGGTTTGCAATAATGAAGATATAAGCTGAATTCTAAAAACCACAAATGCAAAAAAAAAACAAAAAACCGAAACGATCTCAATAAACTGTTTACTCATAAAACATTCATATAATCTCCAAGCAACTAGAAGATCAATATACTAACGTATAAAAAATGTCGATAAAATGCGTTGGAAGTACGTAACGTTTTGTTTCGAATTATCCTAGGCTCCATGCTGTAGTAAACGGTGCCACTCTCAATGGAACTGCATTTATGTACCTATCTCTGTAATTGATCATAACAACATCATTTTATTTCACCACTTTTCATTAAACTACCTACATAATCTTGCAAATATTGATTTTGGTTGTCATACTTATCACATAAAGTTTTGGTATCACGAATATTGGAAACTAAAGTGGAGATTTTCAGTTTCAATTCTAAAATTTCGTTCACTATTTCTTCATCCAGCCTTTTAATTTCTGTATCAGCATCATTGATAGCACTTGTACCAGTTTCTGTCCCCTTTTCTGTCTTGGCCATAGTATTGTCCTCGGTAGAACTAGTCTCTTCTTCCATGATGACTGGATGACTGTCAGATTCTGTCTTTTCTGTTTTCTCTGTCTTCTTTCCAACCTTTAAAATACTCTGGTTGTTTGCATCGCTACTACTTGGTAATTCTGACATTTAAGCTTGCTATTGACAGTTATATATGAATAGGAAGAAGTCAACTGTAATGTATTTATCGGTCAGTAGTATTTTGGTTATTGCACTATTCTCATTTCAAAGACGGTTCTTGGGATACGGAAACAATGGCAAGCATGCTAACTAACTGAATTGAAAGTCTATAAACAATTGACCCATATAACTTACAATTGACTAAGCGTAACAGACGTACCATACTAAAGAATGTCTTGGGATGGATTTAAGAAAGCCGTTCATCGGGCTGGAGCTTCGGTTACAGTTAAGGAAGTAGATAAAACAATTGATAAAGACTTTGACGTAGAAGAAAGAAGATACAAGACCTTAAAATCAGCAGGTACTGGCTTGCAAAAGGCATCCAAAGGTTATTTAGATTCATTGAGAGCAGTTACCGCATCACAAGTTACAATTTCTGAGATTGTGTCCAACTTATACGAAGAAGCAAAGCAGGGAGCATCAATTTATTCCAATGTTGGTAACTATTATTCGCAGTGTGTTAAAGATCTTGACGAGGAAACGGTTAAACAGGTCGATGGACCCTTTAGGGAGACTATTTTAGACCCAATAACAAAATTCACTGGTTATTTCACGGAAATCGATGAGGCCATCAAGAAGAGAGCACACAAGAAAGTTGACTACGACCAGTGTAAGGCGAAGGTTAGAAAGTTGGTCGATAAACCCGCCAAAGATGCAGGTAAGTTACCAAGAGCAGAAAAGGAATTATCAGTTGCCAAGGATATTTTTGATGATTTAAATGAAAGGTTGAAGCAAGAATTGCCGCAGATAATCTCGTTGAGAGTACCTTATCTCGATCCTTCCTTTGAAAGTTTAGTGAAGATTCAATTGAGATTTTGTACCGAAGGATATTCAAGGTTGGCACAACTTCAACAACATTTGGATCAAGCATCAAGAGATGAATATGCTAATGGTGTTTTAGACGGTAGAATTGATGATTTACTTGCTCAAATGGGAACTTTGAACATCACTTCATTGGGACAAAAATAGTTTGTATAATTTATGTAATAATGTTCCTAATATAATTAGTATGGTGCATATTGGCCAAATTTTTTTTTTGTAGCCAAATATCTGGTGATATTTTTTTTTTGGCGAGACCCTAAACTTTCTAATTCTACTTTGCAATAAATTATATTTTATATTTGTGAATATCAATCACTACTATTGTTTACTCAATTGTATTACTCAATTGTATTACTCGCTTGGGTTTACTATATTAGTAGTTTTTGAAAGCAACAGTGCTATTCTTAGCTTTTATCATAAAATATTGTTTAAAGGTATTATTTTAAGACGACCTTCAGCAGTTAAGGTCACAGAACTCAGGATAAAGTAATAATTATTACTAGGTCATAATATGCCACCTAACAGATCTTTTTCGAATTTTATAAAGCGGTTCATTAATTTCATAATTTCTTATCCTAGATTAACGGTATTGTTGCCAACCATATTAATATTTACAATTTCCTACCATGTAACATACGATTATACGATCAGAGAGATTAATTGTCGAATAGCGTCCTATTTTGGATCAGATATAGTATCTACAGATTACAATAATACGAGATTGAACAACCTAATCGACTTATTAAATCGTGGCAGTCCAGAAAGCTTAACATTAACTACATTTGAATTTTCTAACAAGAATATACAGCAAAAGCAAAATGCTTTGACATTTGAAGTGTTAAATGAAATGAGAAACCTACATGTGGATTTAACTAAAAAGTACGATGACATAGTGATAATATCACCCTTATCAAGCTGGTATATTGATTGGGATATTGACGGAGAAGCAGCAGAAGAACGCAAGATTGAATTTAATAATTCCATTTTAAGAGCTATTAATTCTTTGGATTATATTCAAATGGATTCCCTTTTAATTAACAATATAAATAAGGTCAATCATTTAATTACTAGCTGCGAAATAGTTAAATTCTATATTGTTCATCATCCAAATCTTGATATTAGAGGCCCTATTACCGAAGCTATCAATGATTCAAGGCATTTGGGAATGAGCTCAATGTCATCAACAACAGACATTGAAGATTTGGTTACGTTCGTGTATTATTCTCACATTCAGAATGGATCCTCTTCAATTACAAACTTTTTTTTTTCATTAACTAGTGCCATCGAAATAATTGTATTACTGATATTCATTCTTTATATTTTAATTGCTATTTCCAATCAGCATAAGATTAGATCAAATGGAGGATTATTGATTGCCTGGGTGGTCGAAGTTTTAATCTCTGGTGGAGCTTCAATAAGCATATTAGATTATTTTCATGATCATAAATCTAGAACGTCGGAACATCTGACTACGTTTACCGCAAGTGCATATATCTTTACCATAATGGTAGTGAGTTCCAGAAACCTATTTAGGATCATCAACGATTTAGCTGGTGATGATTATGTTAATAACTCGCACGAAAACATTCATAAAAAGTTATACAAATTCTACCTTGGTATAAGCAATAATGATAAAGATAATAATGAAAGCTTAAAACGCATATCTGGTTTCTTGAATTCTTATAGGATTTGTCGAAAGTTGCTGCATTATTTTTGTAACATTCCTACAATAAGCAAAGTGCTTATAATTGATATTGTTTTAATTGCGAAATTAAAGATCTTTAGCTTATATTTCTTTAACTTTTCCTTGAATTCTCCGTTCAAAGAATATTTAACTACGAGATTAAGCTATTTCCTAGAGGCAGTATGCATTGCGCTAACCGTAGATCATTTTTTGCAATTAACGTATCTAGTAGGGATAATAATTATTGATTTAAAAAGATACGACTTAACTGATTTATTAAATTATCAAACATTCCAGAGAAATGAATCTTTAATTTTACCTAGTAATACTATTGAAGGTAATTTCTTGTCGTGTATTTTATTAAAGTTAAATTATCCATCGCATTTAAGACCTAGTCGAAGTTCTGTTAGATACAAAATGGGAGAGTATTTATTAAAAATCAGGTATTCAACCTCATTAACTACGTGGGTGGTCATCTTACCTTTGATAGAATCTGTCTATCTTTTAGGTATTTTCATGAATTGGCGGATAATGCTTCCATATAATGTTATTCGTAATCCTAAAGGAATTGGTAACATGACAGCCATAACAATTTTACGTGATGAAAATAATTGGATCTTTTACGTGGAGTACTTGTGCATTCTTGTATTTATAGTGGCTATTTCAACCTTGACATTCGAACTAACACATTCTGATTCGCTCGATAGGAAACCAATAAAAATAGACGAGAGCGATTTCGAGCTTGAAGATAAGAATATATTTAGATGCATCGATTTAATAAATTTACGAGATGGGCATAACCTTGATGTATTAAAAATCGCAACTAATTCGAATAGCTCGTTCATAGTTTCAGTTGGACTAGATCATAAGATATTAATATGGTCTCCTTTAAATAAGCCTATCCTGAAACCTATTGATATCTCCACTATGATCAGCGATACTATTGATAAAGAATTCTGGCCGATAAATCATATCAATATTAGTAATGATGGTGGTTATATTATTTTAATCAATTATAAAAATAAGTTGATTAAATGTTTTGAAAGGAAAAAATTGAGCTATTCCTGGCAATGTGAAATGCCACCTATTTCAGGTAATAGAATTAAAGTCTTGGAATCGTTTTTCAGGAAAAGAACTGTTCCAGGATTTTTGAGTAGGAAGATCTTGCAACAACAAAAAGCTGATAGAAAAAATAGAAGAGGTAGTGCCACATCTTTATCATCAATGAATTCTAATATGAATGGAAACTTCCCATTCCCAATGAATTCGCCAGAACGGTCTGTAATGATGCAACCGATCAATGAAAACATGGATAATGAAGGACAAGAGCTCTACGAATCGGAATTGGAAAAACAATTAAATAGAGATGATTTTATAATGGTTCTAGAGACAGGGGAATTAATTACAATATCATGTAATAGCGGAGAATTAAAAACATTTGATATGTTCGCTTCTGTTTATAATGCATCTGAAGGAAAAAAATTAAATTCAGTGAAAAAATTAATTACCCCAAGAGTTAACGATAGAGTAATTTGTCATGTGAATAATTATGATATCATAGTGGCCAGTATTATAAACAACACTTGGAAGTTTAGAATTTTGAAAGTTCATGAGGGTTTTTATAATAAAGGAATTCATTTTGAATTACCACCTCCAATGTCAGCAAGCAGTTCGTTAAATGAGATTAATGATTTTTCATTTATGTATAACCAAAAGGGCAATGACGGAAACAATAAAGAATGCGAAATAATTACTAATTCTAAAATGCAAATTAACAAAGCTACAATTGTTACGGTAGAATTTGTCGGTATGATAATTCGAGTCAATAATTTGGTTGCAGAAATAATTGATGTGCAAGGAGGTATAATTTTAAAACGGTTTCACGTAGGGCGTTTCAAACCACTGACATTTAAAGTATCCCATCTGGAGCCAACTCATTGTAAGTTCTGTGGGTGTGTTTCAATTCAATCCTTTTCAATCTTGTATGAAGACTATGACAAAAATACGATTATCGTACATACGTTCAAGATTGATGCTAATAGATCCAAGAATAATATATGTCTAAGAGTAGAAAGAGATCCGAGAGAAATCAGATGTGTTGGGTTTAGTTCTGTCAGTGAGCATTTATTTTGGTACGAGAATCTCGAATGCTGGCAATTGACTGATATTAACATGATTATCGGAATAAAAAAGAAATGCGTCCAACAGGAAGAGGACATGGAAATTTTAGATGACAATGCTCGCTCAAGCTCCAGTAATATAGGAACATTAATCAAAAACAGTGGATTGCAATCGTTACGATCCAGAAAACTGAAGAACCACAAACCTAAGTTGAACGAGCAATCTTGGGAAGGCTTTATTGTTACTCTTGTTGACGGAAACCTCTTATACTACCAAATCCCCTCATGTCACACTGATGGCTTAATTGTAAACAAAGTTACTTGTTCTGAGAAATTTGGGTATAAGGCCATGATCGTGAACTTTGGCAATCTTATCAAAATCATTTACTTGGGCAACGACAAGCTAATTGAAAATGACCTTTACTACTCTGGCACTACCTCCAGATCTTTACCATTGCCTACAAACAATCTCAAGGTGCCTCAATTGAATCACGACTTACTATTTATTAATAAAAGGTCGAGACATAATAACCTCCACAGGTTATAGGCATCCTGTGCCTTGATCTGTACATATTTTGCAGCCTGGGATCAACTTTCTATGTAGATCTGTATATCAATATATGATTCTTTATTCTCATACCATCTCTATGACGAGTGCTGAAAGAGAACCTAGTTTATTTATATTTTCAGCAAATAGGACATATTTCGTTTTATTTGTCGTATAGGTTCGATCATTTCGTTAAGCGATTAAAAGTATCTAATTTGCTATAGTTACTACAATGTGCATTTTATTTTATATACCATTCGCATTATATACTATGCAATTACTCCTATCGCTAAACAATTGCCAATACGATTTTTTCAACGGCCTCGTATAGGCCGTATAGGCTCCAGGAATCTAGAATAAAAGCCTTAATGATCATACGATCCGATTAGCCATTTTAACGATTTCGCAGCAGCATAAAACGTGACTGCATACGATTTCTTTTCTTTTTCATTTGCGTTATTTGCGTTGCGGGATTATCCGACATTCGAACTATAAAAATACACTGTTAGAACGATTATTGTACATATTCAATCCTTTATCAGATTAAACTTAGAGTTAGATCAAACCTAAAATAGATTAAAATGAAAATACTTTCAGACGAAGAAAAGAATGCACATTGGAATGCAGTTTTGTACGAAGGTGCTAAAGGTTGTGCCGTTGGTACTGGTGTTGCGTTTGGTTTAGTAACCTACATGAAGAAGAGACATGCTGTAAACTATGCTAGAATGAGTGCGTCAGTTAAAAGTGCTTTGTGGGCGATGCCAGTGATTACTGTTGGTGCTTTCTATGCGGACGATGGGTCTGTTAAGTTCGATGAAGAATGGCACAGATCATCGTACTTGAAGCAAAAGGAAGCTGAAGAAATGAAGAAATGGAATAACTTAGCATGGTCAGACCAGTTGTTTTACAAAGTTAACAATAACAAGTACGGTCTTATTATCGGTGCATGGGCTGCTTCGCTCTATGGATCGTGGAAACTCGTTAACAGGGACAAGTTCATGAGTGCTTCTCAGAAAGCTGTTCAGGCGAGAGTTTACGCTCAAGCCATTACCGTGGTTTTGTTACTCGGAACTATCTTGATGAGCTTGCATGAACAAGAATTGAGAAAGAAAGAGCCTGAAGCTGTTCCAGAGTGGAAAAAATACTTGCAAGAACAAAGTGAAAAGAAGAAAGAGCAAGAAGCCCATTCTTCATCTAATTAATGATTTGTTTACTCTATTTATATAAATGGCAACTGTACATACTAATACATAACGACTGATGTTTGACGTATACCTCAACTTCTCGCGGAATCTCTCTGAGGGAAAAAAAATAGCTTCCAAAAAATAATGATTTCGCCCAGGATCGAACTGGGGACGTTCTGCGTGTTAAGCAGATGCCATAACCAACTAGACCACGAAACCATTTCTTGAACTTGAATTTTATATCAATTCATATATTATCCTATTGGATCTGATTTTTTGCATAAGTTCAATTTAGTACAAATGAATTGTAAATCATGGTTCTACTACTAATTTAACTCAGTGACGATTTTTCACGTAATCGTAGGAATAATTATATTACGGAAATATATGTTATTGTAGAAGATAAAACAAGATTACAATTTTTAACCATTTGCTGAGTATGAGGATTATTTTAGACCTCTATAATCGAACGATAAATAGGTCGAGGGTAATATAAGATGAATTTCTAATAGACTCTTCTGAGCCGCATAACGTTCTTTTATCCGTTTATATTTTTCCCTCTGAGTCGTCAAAGTATCGAGTCTATATATTGTTGGTGTGGTTTTGTGTCATTTTTCTCCACAAGTACAGAGACATATGATTAGGCCTAGCAAACTTGAAATACCACTATATATAATGTTCTTTTATTCAACAGGTTAATAATTTAAGGATAATCATCAATATGACAGACAAATATGATGAATCGCTATATGCCTCGTTTCAACCTTCTGATGCTAAGTTGTTAACTTCCACTTCTCATACACAATTGTTAACAGAGTATCCAATTTTATCATCAGCATTATCCAACATATTTCCCTATCTATTATTAATTGACAATTTTCTAGAAATCGTAACGTGGACAAATGAAGATCCATATCAGAATTTTATTTTAATAGTATTATATTCTGTTATTATTATGTATTGGCAAATTCTAAGTTTTATAATCATGCCGATATTAATATCGGTTACGTTTGCATGCTTTGTTTGGTCAATTAGTTCTATTATTTACGATTCGAAGTTCAACGAGAAGCCAACGATTGATGAAGTTTTGCATACATTACACAATATAACAATCAGGTTTGAAATGCTTTTAAGACCAATCCAACATTTCCCTATGAAGAAAAGAAATTTTGTGAAGGCATTCATAATGACATTTTTACTAACTCCAATTCATGTCTTATTGGTCAAGTATGTAATTCCTCCACAAAAGGTTTTATGGTTGACAGGATTATTTATGTTGACATACCACTCAGCATGGTCGTTCTCAATCAGAAGATTGCTTTGGAGATCTGTTTATATTAGAATCTTCGCATTCTATGTAACAGGTTTGGATATCAAATTGGATAGAACGAACCAGAATCATTTCATGAATATTTCTAGAATCCACAGTCCTAACACTAGCGATATTGAAGACTTTGATGAAAACCAAAAACCCTTACAATTGTTAGGTGATTTCAAGATCTTGAAGAAATCAGTCGTATCTCCAACCCAGCTAAGACAAGTAGTAGCTTTTGAAATTTTAGAAAACGAAAGGAGATGGGTAGGTGTTGGATGGTCAAAGTTCGTCTTACCTGGCGATAGACCTAGTTATTGTTATGAACAATCAATGAAACCATCCCCATCTATTTCCAACGATGAAAGTTTCAACTTTCCAATTTTCGAAAATGATTTATACACATATCTGTGGGAATGGTTGGAAACCAATTGGAAGGTTGACAAAGAATTTAACAAGGGTAAAGGTTCTGAGGGGTGGGTCTACTACGATAATAACTGGTCGACTGAATCATATTCTGATGGCTTTTCGAAGTTCACTAGATCAAGAAAATGGGTTAGAAAAGCTACATTGACGATTGATAAGCAAGACACTGTTTATGATGAATGATTATTGATTATAGATATGAGTATATATATATATATTTATTTAAGCGATTGATCATGGTATTCGTAGTACGTGTTACACAAAAGTTGAATCGCAGCTAATTTTTTTTTTTTATAGCATCTCTTATTTTTTTTCTTTATTATTGAAAGACATCAACCAACGAAACAATAAACCGAACAACATGAGTGCTAGTTCGCAAATGGAATATAAGGATATCCCTAAAAGATACATAGATCCTTCCACTCCAAAAGATGTGGGTGAGGGAAACAGAGTTAATGGTAAAGACTGGAAAATCAAGAAGGATGCCTTCAGAGTGAAAACCCTCGGTGTAAAAAAATTAAGTACATGGGAACACAGAGAGCAGAAAAAGTTGGAACAGCAGCAATACAAAACAAGATTGCAGGACTTGAAACAAGAAAAGGAAGATGCCAAAAACCAAAGAATTTCTGATTTGAAGAGAAGAAGAGAAATTAAGGCTGAAAAGGAAAGATATGAAAAGATGGCCCTCAAAATGCATGCTAAGAAGGTCGATAGAATGAGAAAGAGAGAAAAGAGAAACAAGATGTTGAAAGAACGTTGATTCTTTGCTTGCTCTCGTTTGCTCTCTGCGACTCGTCCTGCGTTTCTTCATTTCTTTTAGCATTTTTTAGCATAGTATTTTGTGTTGGGTTTACAGCGTTTTCCGCTACTTGTATTACTTATCTAATTGTATATTCACTTTATTGCAATACAATTATATGTATTTATCCATCAACATGAATGGCAGCAAAATGTTTAACGTGGCGTGCGTGTACCATAGCAAAAAGAAAGCTCAATGACGTTACCCGGATTCCAAATCAACTTATATAAATAGCTCGCATGTCCCGCAATTTTTTTGCAAGTTGGCAGAGTGTATTGATAAGGGCTACATTTTGTGTGATTTTTTTTTGCAACATTATACTGGAGACAACGGACAATATATAAAATCTCCATATACCATAGAACATTCATTTCATTATTATCATATATAGTCCAATTTTAATTGTATATTAACTTTTCGGCTTTTTTACAGCAAGAAAAAAATAAAATAAATCTATTGATAAGGGATACATTCATTTGCTATCCATATATATATATACATACTATTGATACAACACAATAATCAATGGATTCTTTGAAGTTACCAACCACAGCGGCACAGGCCAAAGCATTTACTGCACCAAACTCGTTATTGTTCCCTCTGGGAATCGATGGGCAGAGGACGGATATGAATCAAGAAGCTACTCCTAAGAAGGAAGAAGACACATCGGATACAATCGTCGAGCCAAATCAAGACGAGGATGATGGCGCCACGTCGGGTATAGTGCCCACGTTACAAAATATAGTGGCGACTGTCAATTTGGACTGTCGGTTGGATTTGAAGACCATTGCGTTGCACGCGCGTAATGCCGAATACAATCCAAAGCGTTTTGCGGCTGTCATTATGAGGATCAGAGAGCCTAAAACTACGGCATTGATCTTCGCATCAGGTAAAATGGTTGTTACTGGTGCGAAATCCGAAGATGATTCTAAATTAGCATCAAGGAAATATGCCAGAATCATTCAAAAATTGGGATTCAACGCCAAGTTCACTGACTTTAAAATTCAAAATATCGTCGGATCTTGTGATGTCAAGTTTCCAATTAGATTGGAAGGTTTGGCATTTTCGCATGGTACTTTCTCATCTTATGAACCTGAATTATTCCCCGGTTTGATTTATAGAATGGTTAAGCCTAAAATTGTGTTATTGATCTTCGTTTCCGGTAAAATTGTTTTAACTGGTGCAAAACAAAGAGAAGAAATTTACGCTGCATTTGAAGCGATATACCCCGTGTTAAGTGAATTCCGTAAATCTTAGGCAAGCGTTGTATCAAAAATGCCATTTTTACAATAACCTTTAATTTTAAAAAAAAAATAACAACGACAGGGACTGTGTATTCTAGCTTTATTATACTTCTTTGCATCATTGAGAGTGTTTTTCTTCTTCATTCCTTGACATCATGTTTTTTCACTCTTTCAAATCATAACCACATAAACTGGAAACCCAACTATTTCATATAGATATAATAAACAAAATTATTCTGCAATCTTCATAATTGTAGCTTATTATTTAACCCACTTAAAGAATGAACATTGGTGTTCTCCTATTTTAGAAGCATCATCATTTCCAGCATCAGCTTTTGTAGTTCTTGGACAACACCAGAACTTTTTACCTCGAGTCTTGGTGTTCAGTAGGCTGGTTTTTAATTTGCATTTATCACCATGGTAACATTCAGGAGCTACACCATGCATTAAGTTTGATATCGAAATAATTGACGTAGGCTTCGTGTAGCCAGGTTCGTTTATAAATGAATTAACAGGTTCCGTCTTGCGATGAGAAGCAAGGCCATTTTCTACCTTAGATAAATTCGAATTCTCCTTGAAGAAAAAATTACCTATCGATGTTTGTTGATTTTTAGGAGCTGGTGTTGTTTTCCTACTGACATATTCTATCTTCCTTTTCTTTGATGCAGAGTCACTCTCTGAGTCTGATTTGGTATTCTTCGGCGGACCAACACTAAACATTTGAGATATATCACGGTGTTTGATAAGTTTATAGAATAATCTAGCCTCAAATTTAAGTTTAATTGGGGCTGTTATGTGCAAATGTTTCGAATCTGGAATTTCAAAATCCGTAAAAACCGGACAATGATCAGAACCCATAATATATGGCCAAATATCTGCTTTGGAAATGCTTTTCAATAAAATATCAGAGCTGGTTAGGATTAAATCAATTCTCGATCCATAATTTGATTGTCTCGCTCCCGTCAAAGTGTTCCACACTGTATACATCCCCATCCTTCTTCCCTGTGTATATCTTGTTGTATCATAAAGAAACTGTGATTCTGAGCGAATTGCAGGAGATGGATCTAGTGTGGAAACTGTATACGAGTTTAGCAATTTTCTAGCAGGAGTTGAAACCTTAAAGTCTACGCATTGTTTGTAGTTGATCTTTTCAAATTCCGTACCGCTATTTCCCTCTCCATTACGGACGGGTTTTACTATCTTTTGTTTCACCTTCTCGTTAATTGTATCCGCATGGTCTATTAGATCAAGACTCACATTAATATCACCAACTATAACAATATCTTTTCCCATAACATGCTTTAAGTAATGGCATCTGTCAAGTAAGATCTTCAAAAATTCGAGTCGATACGACTCTCCCTCTTCGGAACCCATAGAATTTGCTGGACAATATAATGAAAATACTACGATATTAGATGCAAGCTCAATACAAACACATCTACCCTCGCTATCTATCTTTAATCCTTTCCCTTCATCAATTTCTTCTGGATATCCCCCTATCAGTAATTCTTTGTCCAAGTCTCGATACCGTGACTGTGGATCATCAGCGGAATTTAAAAATCCTGTAAGGCCCTCTTCTGCTTTTACGACAGTTAGATTGTGTCTAACTATCTCCGGTTCGGCTGGTTCTGGAATTCGTACAAACAAACCAACCCCACTATAGCCTTTCTTAGTTTTTGGAAGCGAAATAAATGACTTAAATTTAGTTAGGTTACCGATATTAACGCTGGATATATTTGATGGTGAGAGTTTCAACTCCTGGAGTGATATTACGTCTCCGTCAAGCAGGTTGAAAAAGAGATCATAATTCTGTTGAAGTTGGTTCCATGGGTGATAATTGAACAATGTCTTAGCACCATTGACATTAAACGATATGTACCGAATAGTATTGCAGCTATTTTTAATCTGTATTTTACTCAAAGGCTCATTCTGCCGAACCTTGCACACCTTACTTTCCATTTAGCAATAAGCAATCTTACAAATAGCTTCGATATACAAGTAAAATCACATTTATGTCTGTTTTGTGTCGTAATGTCGTATTACTTCATGATGTCGTTTACTACATTAACCTATCACTCATTTCGATGTCAGTTACGTTCTCGAATGGGATGCTACCATCGACTTTCAGCATCTTATATCCAATAATTGCAACTACTCCTGACATAGTTGCATATTTCTTGTGTAGTTAATTAGTATGCTTTTCAATGGCATATGTATATATGTATATAAGATAAAGAATATATTCAATATAATCGGTTATACAGGTTATGCGGGATATACGGGTGTATGACCGGGTCTATTGATCGGGTCTATTGATCTGAAGAAGCACATTTACTCGTATTGTACCAATGTTCTCTTCTTGGAGTCGAAAATCAAAATACAAAAAAACGCGTCTTGAAAATTTTTGAATTCTCGCGTTGAGTTAAAAAGACAGTCTTTCAAGGTTCAAAGAAAAAGCACTTATTCAAGGTTAAGGTGTACGATTAGTGTGAAGAATACGTAAAATGATTGACAGTGAAACTCTTATGAAGAGCTCACCTTTTCAGGTTATACATGGCGGAGATTCCGATCTCAACTACAACTTGAAGAATACCACACCAGAATTGCTTAAGTTCCAATTACAAGAACAATACAGAAACAAGTTAGCAGACTTACACGAGAACCATCATGATTTACCAAATTTGAATTTGTTGTATACCCAGTTTCTTCAAGGATCATTTAATAATCATTTACAAACAAACATAGATCAAGAGCATATTACACTCGAAGCGGAAGTGCCCAGCTTATCGTCAACTCCAATAACGGATAATGAAGAGGAAGGATACACAAGTATAGATGATAACAAGGCTAATTACATAAATTTACGTGTATTAATTGAAAACTCAGTCTTCGACACTAGCAAGATAAATAAAGATGCAATACTTACATTACCAAGGTTAAAAAAGTTGAAAAAGGAAATTGAAGATAAAAAAGAATTCAAACAATACTTACTATCAAGATATGGAATATCCCAACAATTTTTCACAGAAATGTTAAATAGCGACAAGCAGGAAAGCTTAAATTTGGATGCCCCGTTATTATTAAAGTTCTTAAAACTGAACAATTATTTGCAACAGCAGCTTTTACAAGTGAGTGAAGATTTAGACAATTTGATATTGCAGTTAAACAATCATAACTTGACATGCTTGGTATTGGGTTACATTGAAGACATTAAATTGACTTCTTTATCTGTTACGGGGCCTCCTTTGTCAACTTCGTCCCCCTTTACATCACCTAAACGAATGCCAAAATCTTCTTCCATACTTATAGAACAACCGCTGAAGCTGGTCAGTAAGACATTTGATACCTTGTTTTCACATATTGCATCTATTGCCGTGCAACGCAATATTCAATTGCCGCAGCCCTCAGCAAATAACGACCCAGAGACAATACAATCGCGTATTCAATGGGCTCAAGATTGCATTGATACGATTCTTTCAACTCAGCAAGCAGATCTGCTGCGTACGCCAGTCAACGAAAAGTCAATGAACTTATCAGCTGATGAAACGTCTTCTAGAAATGACTTTTCTCAAGATCATTCTTTTTTAAATGAATCATCTATTACATCTGCTTCACCTCAGAAATCCCAAAACAATGGAAAACTTCTCGCTGAATATAAAACTGCATTAAATGACTTGAGATTTTCTCATCAGTATCTATCTAAAGAATACGAACATTCGAGGGAAAGTTCACTTAAAGCGATTCAAGAATATCGTAAGAAAAACTCCATACTAGAAAAAGAATTGAACAAATTGAAAAAAACAAATATGTCTAGTCAATCTACTTCGGTACATGATAGTTCTGACAATATTGATGCTAAAGATAGAGAAATATCCAAACTTCGTAAGGAGCTCAATTTGTTAAGGATTGATAAATTGGGGATAAAGAATAGTACCAACAAACTTGCTTCTCCTAATAGTTCTAATAGCGCATTATCTGCATTGTCGCCAATAACTAGTAATTTTCCAACGAGTTATACCAGTGTGGATGGCAATGAAACTGAATCTGTAATTCCTAGTAGACCCACGTCGATAAATTCTAACTCAACCAGTAACGGTATATTAAGAACAGAGTTTAAGAAGATCGTTGAAGATATACATGACCAATACGAATTACAATTGACTGAGGAAAGATACAAAAGAAGACAATTGCAGGACAAATTTCATTCTCTACACGGAAATAGGCAAAATTAGGTTTCCTTCATTCGGTATTGATGAGTATATTAATTCGTGCTGTATTATATTTAATTTAGTTTTAGGATAGTTATTCTATATCACAATTCATTATATAACCATATAAGAAAGAGTTATTTGTAATATAAATATCATCAAATTTTTACGCGTATTTATTATGATCTATTCTGTTAAACCGATTTAAACAATTTAGCTTGATAACAGCAAAATACAATGATTCATATAATCCAGGTACTAGATTACATACTAATTAGAATATGAAATCGTATCCAATCGTAAAGTCTTCGAGAAATCTTGCTCTATCTCCAATAGATAAAGATGATGCAGAAAAGCAGATTACCGTCTCTTCCATCAATAATCGAAAAGAATACCAATTTGAAGCTGCTACACAAAATACGTTGAATTCTGATTCACAATCACCATATAAATCAAAACGAACGTTCCATTCTTATAACAACGAGGATGCTTATTCACTGGTAAGTTCAGTGCAAGAGCAACACAAACATCGAAAGTATAATTCAAGCGAAGAACTCCAAACTTTTAAACTGAAATACAACCTTGACCCATCCGACCAGTTAGAAATAATAGAGAACGATACACAGTTAGTTCAGGACCAGAAAAATTCTGGCGCAGGCGAGAGTACTATTTCAGCGGACTCGTTTGAAGTCTTTTTTGATTCAGATTCGACTAGAAATGAAATGGTCGTTAATAATCTAGTTATAAGCTCGGACTATTTCTTGAATAGAGCACATGAAACTGTACTTGATACAAACTCAATTAATGGATCAAAGACATATTTCAAAATGATAAAAATTTCCATAAAGTCTTTGTTGTTATTAATCAGAAAGTACAGTAAATGTCTAAACCCTTATTTGGAGCTGATAATATATTTCAAATTAGCTAGAATTTATTTCATTGAAACGGAAAATATAAATCGAGCAGACGATTATGTTAATAAGGCCATTTCGATTGCAACTCGAAATAATCTAATCAAAGTTAAATTCATATGTGAATTTTTGGCTGCACAAATACTAGAAAAATCAAATCCCAGATTATCCTTAAACTATATAAATGAAAGAATTACAAGTTTAAAAATGATTGGTCTCCATAGTCTTGGGAGTCTTTTTGCCTTGCTTAAAATAGATAATTTGTTATCCCAAGATCCAAATACAGGCTTGATTGTATTACAATCATTATGTCAGGATCATCAAATCGACAATACTACGAGAGCATTGTGTTTTATATACCAAAGCAATTTGCATCTTTATAGAGGATCGCCAAATCATTCATTAGAGCTATTGAATCATGCCGAAACATTGATGCATGGGCATGAGAAAAATTATCCTATTCAACTCCAAGCGATTTTATTCTTACTGAAATATTCCGTATACATTCACACTGATGATAATGCCGGAAGTAGAGATGTAATGCAATTTATTAGCAATTTTATCTTAACAGAGCAACTGAAGCACTGGAACTCTTGGAAAGAAGATGGCACATTCAAAATAAATATTACTATTCCTTCAAGCAATGACCTTAACAATGAATTGTCTTATCGAGTAACATGGTTAAATTCTGATGAATTCGTCATAATGTTTTATTTCCTAACGGGTGTCCACTTTTTGCCTGAAATATACAATAAGAAGTATAAATCTAAGAAAGTTTTTCAAAAATGCTTACAAATACTAGATAATCAGTTGCATGAGCTAAGGGGAATGGGGAATAGTGAAAGACGCTTCCCACTAAATCAATTGACGAAGAAAATAATAAGGTTAAGCTTCATACGGTATTACATTAATTATTATCAAGTTTGGATGAATTTTTTGGATAAAAATTTCACTAATATTGATCCGTTGAATGAATTTCTTGAAAATTATAACAACAGTAAATTCAGTGATGAAGAATTATGTTACTACAAGTTGTTGATTCCAAAAATTTTCTATTTATTTGGAATTTTTTTCCAATATAAGGGAGATCTAAAGGCAGCAAAATATTATTACATGAGAGTACGCAATTTCACACTGTATGAGCGAGAGTCAAGTAACACGATAGAATATGCTTCCATTCTACAATCTTCCTTAGGGGTTGGTGGTGAAACCTTCCAATCAAAAGGTCAATTTAGCGAGCTATATATTTACTCAACATTGCATCTTGTGATGCTTACAGAATTTGAAGTGTATCAAATTACTAAGTTGTCACATACAAATATCATTAATAATAGAGATGATATGTACAGATTTCGTTCTCTTTTGTATCTGGATTTGACCAAGATATTCGCTCAAAAAGATAAAAAGACCTCAAATAGCTTCAATATGAATCTAGCAGGTTCAAGTCAAACCCTTATTATCACTTATAATTTACTCCTTAGTATTTACGATAATAATTATTCAGAGAGTGGTAAAATTAAATCTTCAGAATATCCACAAATCTTATATGAAGCAATGAAAGGTTCTAACTCATTGCATTCATTCCCATATTTGATTTCATTAATTCATTATGTTACCTATTTATTGTCAACAAGTTTAGCTGATAAAGGGCTGGCGTTAAAAATGTGTTTATCGCTAGTATCAATGGAAAACTGTTCTGACAATGAGAGGGTTGTCAATTTTTTTATATTGAAAGATTACTGTTTGCAACTACATGAGGAAGGTGACCATGATAAAGGTTCATTTATAGAAACCCAATTGCGGTATTTGCATGATTTACTTGATAGTAAATTTCGATTGATAAATTTAAATAAAGATAATTCTAATCATTTAGCATAACAGTTAATATTACCCATCACATTAGCCCTTTTAAAATTAAATGATATATTTTGCAAAAACTTATTATAAAGCAATATAAAATAAATGTACAGAATGTAGATGTAGAATGAAATCTATTAAAAAAAGTAGCTGGTAAATAAAAAGTAGGAAGAAAACGATAATAATCATTTAGTATGCACTTATTTCTTGGATTTTTTCTTCTTCTCGGAAGATTCTTCGCTATCGTCTGCCTTTCTCTTCTTATCCTTCTTTTCCTTCTTTTCCTTCTTGTCCTTCTTTTCTTTCTTTTCTTTCTTTTCCTTCTTTTCCTTCTTTTCCTTCTTCTCTTCCTTTTCTTCAGTTTCAACTTCAACTTCCTCAATTAATTTTTTAGAAGTTTGAATTTCTGGGGCAGCCAATTTAGATTCCGGAACTGGAGGAGCTGGTTCATCATCATGGTCCTTATAGTCTTTCTTCCATGTTTCTGGAGTGTTCTCGTTGGCTCTACCATATTTATCTAATTTACCATCAGCCTTTAATTGCTTTTTCTTTTGAGCGACTGGACCTAATCCCCATCTTCTTGGATAAGTATCACGTTCCATAATACATCTCTTGACCTTAGCAACAACACCATGGTCACAACCTTGTAAATCAACTGTGGTCATTTGAGCAATACCAATTGCAATTGCTTCACCCTTAGTTGTCATCAAAACAACTTCGTCGTACAATTCGATACCTTCTTCGTAACGTAACAAACCAGGAATCATTAATTTAGCACCATAACAGACAGAGTTGACAGCAGAATCCTTAACAACAATTCTCTTATAGCCAACTAATAAAGTCTCCAAAGGTTGAATAATCTTTCTCAAATAGGATTCATCTCTGGTGTTATCATAAACATATTGAGCGTCCAAAACATCATGCAAAGTAACTAAGTTATCGTTTTCACTCAAAGCACCGGAACGAACACGACGTAACTCTTGCATATGACCACCAACACCTAATAACATACCTAAATGAACACATAAAGTTCTCATATAAGTACCGGCTTCACATGACGCCCAGAAGACACCCAAACCTCTCTTGTTATCGAATTCGATCAAATTAGAATCGTAAATAGTACGAACTCTTAATTGTCTTTTAACAGCAGAAATTAAAGGAGGTCTTTGGAATAAAGCACCAGTCAAGTTTTCTAAAGATCTACCCATTTCTTTAGCATCTTTTAATTCCTCATGCAATCTAACAATACAGACATACTCCTTACCAGCACCCTGTTGAGATTTGACTAATCTGGTAGCACGATCAATACAGACAATCAAACAACCAGTAACTTTAGGATCTAAAGTACCAGAATGACCGGTTTTTTCACTTCTTAAAATTCTCTTAATCCAAGCAACAACTTCATGAGATGATGGGTTAGATGGTTTGTCTAAGTTTATAATACCGGAAGAAATGTACGACTTCAAGTCTCTCTTTAATGGAGAACATCCAGAAGGGATAGGAGTGTAATGACCACTTCTAACTAATAATTTATCGTAATTCTTCAATAATAATGGCCATTCAGAAGTATCCTTTGAAGGAGCGACTGATTCTGGCTTAATGATATACTCGTCAGACATTACTGTAATGAAGTTTATTAAAGTATGAATGAATCTCTAAATATTAATTTTGATAATCAAATTTTCTATGAGAAATTTTTCGTTTGAAAAAAAATGCATCGTGCGGCTTTTTTGTTGGCCATAAACAGTAATGTATATTGTAACGTAACCTATCTACGCAACCATCAACTAGATAAACCCATAGAATTCACAGCAATTTCACGCTTCATCACCTCTAACCAAAATAATTCTCTTCCTAAACCTCTGACCGCTTTTACGCATGCATCCATTCTGCTATCGTTTATAATTTCTGATTCTGATTGGAAATTGCCACCTATCAAACAGATAGTATCCTTCGTGGCTTTGATCTCACTTACGATATCATATAATTGGTTAACCAATGCCAGATCAGGTACCACCAAATTATCTAATTCAAACTTGCTTTTATTATTAGTTGAGACCATTTTTTTTTGTTGGGAATTTAGTCCATCCAATTGAATTAACTCATTATTTAGGCTAGTTAAACTTGATAATTGATTAGATAAATATGCAATGTGATTATCCAAATTTTCACTATTGGCACATGCTTGTTGGTTATGATGACTTAATTGTTGATACAATGCATTAATTTTCTTTGTATTAGTGTTCACTTCAGGGAGGATATTATTGATATTATCCTTTGATGACTCGAGCAATTTCTCATTGATTTTCCTGGATAGTACTTCTAGAGCCTCCTGATATGTCTGATTAGTTAAATTCTTCTTAACGGTTCTATCATCATTATCCATTAAATCTATTGTAGTTTCCTTTGCAATTTGATATCTGTGTTGTTTAGTTAGATTATCGGGATGCACAGCATAATTTTGTGCTTGATTCAATACATTCGATTGACGGGAATTTATTATTTCGTTGTCTGCTGATACTGGAATTTCACGATCCCTCTGTGAATTCTCAACAACCTTTTCGTTTGGTAATGGTAAAGGAGATTGGTACTTTAAGGGGATACGAGATAAAGCTGGTTCAGTATTATGTCGCGAAACATCTGATAACTCTGTATTTGAGTTATTTGATAATGGTACTGGCAGAGGTGAATTTATTGGAATTTTAGCTGGCTTTTCAGGAATCTTATAATTATCCAGACCAGTATGAACAGGTGATATATAACTTAGCGACTCCTGATAAAAGATTGGCAAATCTTTTAGAAATGAATTATGTAACGTACCCACCAACTGAAGTAAATTATATTTCGATGGTTGACTATTATACTCATGAAACCAACTAGATAAATATGGATGATAAAACTTACCTTGTGTATCAATATGATTTCCCGGTTTTATAAACCAGTTTCTTGAATTATCTGGAGTAATATAAACCATTGGCACCCCGATATCATCGGATGTATGTTCTGAAATGTTATAAGGATAATTCAAAGGAATCCAAATCGTCACAGGTACACTGAGGTTCTGATTGACTTCGATTGATCCAAATAGATTAATCAATAAATTTGAATGACCTGTATTACCAGAAGTATAAACACTTGTTCTGATCTTGAAGCCTTTGTTCAAATAGATTTGTAAAAACTGATATACATGAGTATATGCGATATGCTTGTTAGTGTATTGCGGCTGGAGGACATTATATAGCCAATTAGCTACTGATGAAGGTAATTCAGTCATGTATATATGTTTATATGTCTCTATCACGGTGATTCCCACCTAATCTGATTTCCGTAATTTTGTGTCCCCGTTTTTATCTCACGAATTTGTTCATAGATTTTGAACAGGAACAATTCCGTTTTCTATCGACTTAGTATTAACATTTCGCTTATTTCAAATATAGTTGTTTAATATGAGTGGGTATGTATGATTGTGTATATGTGCTTGGTTTCTTTCTTTGATTAGCACCGATGCAATATGGAATGATGCATGAATTTTTTAATTTACAATAAATGAACAATAATTACTAACCATTGAAGGTACACTGTTATAATTGCATTTATTATTACCGCTGCTTTATCCACACTAGCTTGGATATTTGCTCCAAAAGAGAACACAACTGTTTGGAGATCGTCAGTTATATTAGGGTTATCAATGTGCTATTTGATGTGGGCGATCACCTTCCTCAGTCAATTACATCCATTAGAGGCTCCTAGAAGGTCGGATTTAAGGCCTGAGAAATAGAGGACTATCTATGAAACCTAGAATGTATAATCTTATTCAAGTGAATTATTTTGTTAGCTACTAATCTATGAAGTTTCGCCCAGCATACTGCTTCATTCATAAACAATGCTTTACTACAAGACTAACCATGTCCTCATCCTATCTGATTTAGGTATGCATTCTTATTTTGATTGAGCCCTTATATTACGCATATAAAACCACTTTAATTCTTATTCCAAATCTATGAAGTTAACTAGAAAAATACTACAACATTTTTTTCATTCTTGTATTATCGTAACCCAATTATCCTAAAATTACAAAAGTTCAATATAGATACTACAACTTTATATGCTTCTTCTGTTACCGAATCCAATTAATTTGAAATTTTAAAGTTTAGATTTGCAAATTTACCATATAACTTGTCTGATTAGGAAGTCTAGGGTTGACTTGAGAGAATATCCGGGTAATGTTTCTCTAATTCTGGTTCCAATAAAAATTTTGCTCGATAGAAGTTAATTAATTCTTTTTTTATACCAAAGTTTTTCTTAGAACTACAATGCAATAATCGCTTCTAAAGCATGATTATTCATTGTTGACGTCTATAATTTAATACATGTTCATTTTACTGAGAAAATTTGTACTATCATTTCAAAGTGATAATTATTTCTAATTTTCAACACACTCCTGTTTCTGCCTCAGATTCTTATGTTTCCATAGAATTATGGGTTCTGTTTATGGAGAAGATTAAGCCTGTTAACGGAACTTGGACACTTTTGATACAACCGTCCATGTTCTTTTAGCAGGATCGTGTGGTCAGATTTGTCCGTGTGTGATAAACTCGATAATGGTTAGTTACCAAATGGCGAGAAAATCTGGCAAATCTCCACTACATATTTTTTAGGTCGTAATTTACTTGTAGTTGTGCACTTATTGTGTATATTTTCCGTAATTGTTCCCTATTTTATACTGTTTTATGCCATTTATGCATATGAAAATCAAACGATACTTCTCGACATAAAAAATGCTCGCTCGCATAATTAGCCGCATATATCGTCTACTACTAGTTGCTGAACACAGCTGACCACATAGTACGTGTCCTATACTATTCGTAGCTGCTCATCGCAATAATTGAAGACGTTAGATACCCTGCTTCTGTCGCCACTATTTTCTAGATAATTTGCAGTGAAGTTTTTTCGGTAATTAATAATATTGTATTGCTTCACGTGCAAAGAAGATATTTATAATCCACAGTTTTGATACGAAGACCTATTAAGAAAAGTAATTAACATATTAATTAAGCGATTTCTTGTTCTATGATAAAGCATAACTATAAAGTACATACAAACTAAATCAACAAATTTAAAAGATGCTACCGAATTCAAAAGTTGAATCAAACATAGAAGTGGACCATTCGCTATCGGATCTTTCAAGTGATAATACTACCCATTTAAAGAGAAATCTTAAAAATAGACATGTGTCTTTGATTGCATTAGCTGGTATTATTGGTCCTGGTATTCTTATAGGTGCATCGTTAGCCCTTAAGAATGGTGGGCCAGCTAGTTTAATTATTGGATTTGGTTTCATTGGTCTAGTTGCATTTAGTATGATGCAATCATTGGGGGAATTAGCGACAATATATCCAACGGGAGGAGCGTTTTCGACATTAGGTAATAAATTTGTGGATCCAGCATTCGGTGGAGTCGTTGGATGGAACTACGTTATCGTTTGGGTTGCGGTTTTGGCGAATGAATACAATACCGTTGGTTCCATAATGCAATTTTGGGGTCCACAGGTACCATTATATGGTTATATCTTGATTTTCTGGGTAGCCTTTTTAGCCTTTCAATTTTTAGGAGTTGGAGCTTTTGGTGAAGCTGAGTATTGGCTAGCTTTGTTTAAGCTACTCGGCTTGGTTGTTTTTTACATCTTCTCTATAGTTTATGTGGCGGGAGGCGTCAAAGGAAGACCAGCATTTGGTTTTGAATACTGGAACAATCCAGGAGCCTTCAGTGATGGCTTTAAAGGGGTGGCTAGTACATTTGTGTTTGCTTCTACTTTTTATTCTGGAACAGAATCCATTGCAATCGCTGCAGCTGAAACTAGGAATCCGTCGACTGCCATTCCAAAAGCAATTAGACAAACATTCTGGAGAATTGTTATTGTTTATATGGGAATTGCTATTAGTTATGGGATGACTGTTCCTTATAATGATCCATCATTGAACGATGGCTCGAAGACATTGCAATCACCAATGACTATTGCTCTTGTTAGGGCTGGTTGGGCTCAAGCAGGTCACTTAATTAATGCATTTATCTTGATAACATGTATATCTGCTATTAATAGTTCGATTTATATTGGTTCAAGAACGATTGTTAATTTAGCAGCTGAAGGATTTGCACCTAAGCTCCTCCGTAGAGTTAATGGGCAAGGTGTTCCTTATATGTCGGTAATTTTGATGAATTTATTTGGTTTGATTTCGCTAATGAATATTAGCACTGGTGCTGCAGATGCATACGACTATATTGTAAATTTATCCGGTGTTGCTGTTTTCATTGTTTGGGGGTCTGTTTGCTATATTCATTTTAGGTTTCGAAAAGCTTGGAAACTCCAAGGTAGATCTACCGATTCATTACCATATAAAGCATTATGGTTTCCTTGGTTAGCGATATTTGGTTTAGTTTTTTGTATATTTTTAGGTTTAGTTCAAGGTTGGTCATATTTTAAACCATTTGATGCTGCTAATTTCGTTGACGCTTACATACTTTTACCATTTTTTGTCGTGCTTTTCGTTTTCTTTAAAATTGTTAATAAAACAAAGTGGGTTAAGCTTGATGAAATTGATTTAGATGATGGAAGAAGACAAGATATTGACGTGAAAGAAGACGTTGAAAGTGAGGAATAATATATGTCTCGATTTCTATATTAATTGTATATTTATGTACTACATTTTAAGATCGCATTTTTGTTCTTCTTCATTTCAATATATATAAAATAAATAACTCAAAAATTTCTGGGAATATAGGCATTGTGTTACATCAAATTGTCATCATTCATGAATTTCGTAGACGCCCAGGGCCTACCAATAAACATCATTCCTAATTGTCCTCCCATAACTAATATTCTACCATCGACAGTACAAGTGATATTATAAAATATAACTCATTTAGTTTCTGAATATTATAGAATTGTCAGGCAAGTTGACCTTCTTTTTTAAAGTAAAACATTAGGATTAATTAGATTGGACTTGCTACTAGAAGTTATAATATAATTTATCGCTAGATAATTTAATGTAATGTTGAATCAGTTTGGTATTTCTATTCATCAAACGTATGTATTAAAAAATGTTTCAAAATTACTGTTGTATGAAATGTTCTCTATATTAACTTCAGCTTTAAAACGTCTTCCCCGGGGCATGGATTTATATTTAATCCTAAGAAGTACATAGGTAAGAATATTACATTTACTGATATAAATAATGATTACAAGTGCCGATTAGTCAACAACTCATTAGTCTAGCTAGAATCGAATTCACATCTATCGATTATCAACTCATTTGTTTCATATAAATATGAAAGTTTATTCTTTTTATTCTAACCTTATAAATTTTATTCTTCAGTTCATGCCGTGAGGTTTAATATATTTATAGTTGTCAATAACATCGTAACACGTCTATAACCAATCTTGTAAGTCTCATCATTATTATTCTTCGGCCAAAATACTATTGAATATTATTAGCTGTAGCCTTCTTAACAGTCGCAGAACGTAAAACTTTAGAATAATTTACATTGTAAATCTGATAATACTAATAAACTAATTCCGATTGATTCCAATATTTTTATGTCTTAATTAATATGCTTAATAAAATTAAAATTAAATACAATGATTTATTTTAATTATTGAAATATTTAGTAATAAAATATTTAGTGAGCATACGATTTATTTGCGAAAATGCAAACTGGTTGCAAATTCAAATAAAATACTAATGAAATATTTAGTAATAAAATATTTAGTGAGCATACGATTTATTTGCGAAAATGCAAACTGGTTGCAAATTCAAATAAAATACTTGATTGGGTTAAGAAGTTGAATGTTACCAATGAATATTCCCATTCTGAGATAGATGGGATGACCTATGAACTAAGAAATAAATTGATTA